GTCTATGACTTTTGTGTAAGATTCTTGAGCCTACAAGGCTACAACAAAACAAAAAGGTATAATGTGATATTCATTGAGAAAAAGCAAAGATTTTTCACCTTCTATGAGAGAAATGAAGTGCCAGCATGGTTATGATGCAAAAGGTTATGAGCAATGGAGTCCCTTGCTTTCATGGCATTTGGTGATCTCAAACTTATTTCCGGAACCATTTCATCATCAAAGAATTCGTATTTCAGCGATGAATCTAGATCCTCGTTCCTCATTTCGCATATATTATGCAAAACGCAGCACGCCCCTAACACAACAGGCAAGTCCTGAAGTTTGACCTCAGTTCTTTTCTGTAAACACCCCCATCGTCTCTTCAGTCTTGTAAATGCCTCTTTCGCAATCCCCTGAACTTCCCCGATTTTCTCGTTGAAAGCGTGCTGTGTCCAAGTCAAGTGCTGTTGTGTATAGGGTACCAATACCCAATCCATTAAAGGGTATCCAGAACCTCCAACAATCCAAGCACCTTTATAGAAACCTGCATTTGCTCTTTGAAAAAGTGTGGATTTTTCCAAAACATGATCATCAGGCATTGAACCAGGATATCCTATACAGACATCAGTAAACACTCCCCTTGGATCAACCACACCTTGAACTGTAATTGAATACGAGGACTTTTGATTCCTTTCCGTGTGCCTTCGGTTGAAATAGGCCACGACGCTTGCTTTAGGAGCAGTGATTGGCATGTGAGTTGTGTACATTGATCCTACCACATTGCTTATCCCGGAAATGGACTCAAAATCATCCTTAATCCTATTCACTGCTTCATCGTCCGGCCACCTTAAATATTTCGGCATCAAAACATTCCTAATTGCGGAACAAACCTCAAGAACAAGCTTATGACAGGTCGAAATTCCCAATCCAAATTTCTTCGAAACGAGCCTAAGCGGCTCCCCTGTGGCTAACCGCCATATACACACCGCAACACGTTGCCTCACAGGGACAGCATCCCTCAACAAAGTATTTTCCTTGGCAACAACCGAACTCAATTCATTGCATATCAAGACAAAAGTATCTTTTCCCATTCTAAATGCCTTCTTAAATTCCTCATCTGGGAAATCCGGGCTATTACATTGATCCCACCAATCTTTAGATCTATGCTTAACCCAAAGCCGCCGCTGCGGTCCTGTTGCTGGCACTTTATCGCTCGCACTAGTTCTATCGTTACCACCTGAAATGGAATCCTCTATGTCGGCCGAGGCAAGGGCGATGGCAGTAGCATTTGATGCAGCAAACACATTGGCCCGCGCCTTTCTTTTTCTAGCCCCATCAACGCGATCCACATCCTCATGATAGTCCTCCTATTGAAGACAATAATTAAATAAATATAAAGTGATGCGTAACAATTTAAACTTTTAGGAGAGATGAGTTATTACGTGCAACTTGGAGTAACAATCGAGCATTGCGCTTGTCTTCTTCTTGTGATTTTCCTCAAATTGTAACCTTTCTTCCTGATGGGCCTTGGCAAATTCTTCTCGGCCATCCTTTTCTTGATCTTCAAGCAAAATTAAAGAAGTCGATATCTCTTTCAATCCTTTTGTCTTCACCCCACCTCGTTTTTCATCAACGACACTGGTATCTGTTGTATTCTTCTTTCTTCTTTTCTTCAGCTGCTGCTGCTGCTTATTTTCATTCATCTGATAACGGGTTTCTTGAGACGAGAAAAAATGGAGAGCAATCAGGATTTTCTGGGTGGAATGGGAACTTGATATGCATATGCAGTCGAGGTCTTTGAGGACATGTTTGAAGGGAAGTGTGAACACGTATGGAAGAATGTCAATTGTCAAAATCATAGAATAGAAGTTTGAAAATTTCTGTTAATATTATAGATAGTCAGAAGAGACGTGTGAACGCAGCTATGGAGGAAGTTTCGAAGGAAATGCAGGGTTGGATTGAGATTTTGACTTGCCTCACGAGTAATCGAAATGACGAACATGATTTTTACCCTAAGGCACCGTTTGGTAGCCATTATTTTAGAAAAAATGCATTCTTTGTGTCAAATCACACCTTTTTTTGTGGTTGAAAATGAAGGAAAAGTTATTGATGTGATGGAAATGATTATTTTATTGATGAATGTGTGGTTGAAAATTAGTAGAAGAATGAGAATGAAAAAAAGAATGGATACCAAACAGAGGCTAAATTTAAACAAGAAAAATATTCCGTGCCACAGAGTTTGATGCATAGAAGAATAGCCTCCTTTTTTGTGGTTGAAAATGAAGGAAAAGCTATTGATGTGATGAAAAATATTATTTTATTGATGAATGTGTGGTTGAAAATTAGTAGAAGAATGAGAATGAAAAAAAGAATGGATACCAAACAGAGGCTAAATCTTTATATATTATTATTATTATTATTATTATTTTTAATGTAAATCATATTTTAAGAATGAAAAATATTATTTATTCATTAATTCTTAAAATATACTTTGTTTTTATTATTCGACAAATTCTTTCATGATTTTTAATTTGTATAGACAATAAAACCTCTAGCCTTAGATTTTACACAACATCTGTAAATGCAAATACTTTGACAAGTCGTTTGCATTCAAAATTTCTTAAGACTTTGTTTGGGTTGCGATGCCAAAAAGGGCCCAGTCCAAAACAATTGGGCAATGATGAAATTTTGGCCTCGACCCAATATGTTGATTAATCATTGCCCAATAACTCAAATGAATAAACCCATAATCCGAGCCCAATATAAGGTGACATGTGTGCTGCTCTGGACCATTGATCACTTAATGATATCAACGGTGATGAAAATGTGTATAAATGGTAGTTGAGTGGTATCTTTCTAGTGCCTTTTGTTTTCATTGTGTTACCCAAAAAGTCTAGTTTTTAGGGTGATTCTGTTTGAATACTGAGTTTAAGTGATTCTTAAAATGAAGGAAAGGGTTGATATATGTGTGGTATTATTTTTGGTCCATTGAAGTAGCTGAGATTCATTTTTTGAGTGTTAGGGTTTGAGGTTTTACATTTGTACATAAGGGTACAATATTTTGAGCTCAAGTGATAAAATCTTCGATGCTGGTGTTCATTTTGTTTGTAATGTTCGATTTTGTTGTAAATCTGAAAAGAGAGAAATATTATATACTTTGTGGATTCTTCGTTTTCTATTTCTAAGAGACTTGAATTGGTCGATCCCAATTTCCTAGAACAATGCAAATGAATGACTTCAATATCCGCTCAATTTGGAAACATTTTTTGCACTTCCCACATGAGCTAAGGAGACTTAAAGTTTTCGGAAGTGGAATCGTATGACGTGGCTTGATGAGTTGGCACTTACAGTTATAGGTACAATCATCGTGTGGCAAAAGGCCCGATGACTAAATGCATCCCTTTAATGCAGCAGGTGGTCACTGAAAAATCATGGATCATCTCGAATGAGTGCACTATGAGCCTCATAATCTAAAGTGGTGTGATCTAAGAGCTCAATTTAATCCAAGCCAAATGATGCATCCACTCATAAGAGATATTTAGAATTCTTTATAAAGGGACCCATAATACAAGAATTCTTACACCGAATCAATCATAAAATCTTCTCTCTTGAAAAGTGTCCGAATTATTTTTTCAAAAATAGAATTTTGTCCAAGCAATTTAAAGGTCTTGTTTTATTCCATTCAAGAAGTGTATAGTATATACATTGGTTCGATCGATAATGTTTATATAGTGCAATACTAAAATTGAAAAAACTGTTGTATCATGGGAGACTGAGGTTCCATAAACAAGACCTCCGTGGCCCTATTCATCTAGCAGGTCCTTGTTTATTTTGTTATTTAAGTAGGATTAAACTATTTGTACATTGATTTTGTACATCACTGTTGACATGTCTTTGCAAATTCAAAAGTGAATGAGTGGGAAATTGTTTTTTATTTTCAAACTGACCAATTATGCTGCGACACGTGGAACAATGTAAAACTTCATGTCAACCACCATGTACATGCAGCATGGTTGAAGTAAGTATTGGGGGTGCCACATCGGTCCTGTTTGACGTGGCCTTGTTCATCTAGTAGGCCCATGCCATTTTGTTAGTTAAGTATTGTACTTTCCACGTAGACGGTGTTATAGAGAGGAAAGTCCTCTCCCTGTCATTTTCTTCGACCATTTGGTTCAAAAAAAAGGTTGCTGGAAGGAAACCGGTGGAGGCAATAGTGGTAGAGCTCCTGCCTGTAACAGCAGCGCAACCCCCATTCTACCACCGCCACCATCTTTAATAAAAACCTTAATTTTCTTCCGTTCTACATGACCAAAAATGCCACCCCAAATTCTACACGATGACAACCCCACTGTTGTGGCCGTTGATAAAGACAAGCATAGTTTATCTGCCGTTCGTTGGGCGATTGATCATCTCTTGATTACCAATCCAACCCTCATTTTAATCCATATAAAGACCAGACAATCTCAAAATCGTAGGTACCCTCATTATTTAATTGTTAATTTCTTTTCATTTCCTTGTAATTTTATCACAAAATTATCCATTCTACAGAGCTCAGATAAATGGGTTTGATCAGTTTTAATTAACTATATTGCAGAAAATTTAAATGGGGCCTCCCCAGATGCCAATGGTGGATTCCTTGACAAAATTTTCACGCCTTTTCGTGCATATTGTGCATGCAAAGGGGTAAGCAAATTTTATTGTATAATGATTGTTTAATGAAACCTTGATTTACATATTGTTGGAAATAGTTTGTGGCTCGAAACATTTGGTGGAAACAGTTCAAGAAATTCGTGGTAAGTAGAGTTCTGATGGAAATTTGATGTCCTGGTTTTTCAGTTAAAAGTGAGAGAGGCCGTCCTTGAAGGTAATGACGTGTCTAATTCACTTATAGACTACATCAACCATCACCATATTACCAATGTGGTTCTTGGTGGCTCGTCGAGGAGTGTTCTTTCAAGGTCTCTCTCTCTCTCTCTCTTTATCTATCTATAGTGGGTTTGGAATTTATATTGATAGAATGAATTGTATTTTGCTGGAGTAGGAAATTTTGGACTTACGATGTACCAACTTTGATAAACAAGGCTGCTCCAGATTTTTGTTCAGTGTATGTAATTGTGAAAGGAAAGACACAATCTGTCCGACCGGCAGCACGACATGCAGCCTGTTCGACTCTACCTAGGATACCTTCTACACAAGCACAGTCTGTCAAGATTAACAACTTCGAACCAGACACTGGATCGAGGTACTCATAATAGTAATTTGAGCTCGAGGTTTAGTCTTGGATTCTTAATTAATTGTAATATCTATACTGCATAGAATAAAATAAGAATTCTACTTCAGTGAAATTTTCTATTTGTGGGAGCAGGGCAAATTCTATAAGAGAGTGGAAGGGTGTAGGTTCTGAGCGGATCAGGTCCAACAAAGGTCTAGGCAATGGATCTGGATCAGTGGACAATTATGACATTTCCAGTCGAGGAGGATCGAAAATATCACCTGGCCGCATTTCCCTAGATGGAACAATCAAGTTAGGATCAATTGGTATCAAAACACAAAATTTAGACTTCACCTTTATTGCAGAAGGTGGTGATGACAGATATTCCTCATCTTCAGTAAGTAGTATATGGTGCGAATGGTGAATCTTTGAGTAAATTTTAATATAGGTGGATATTTCAATCATTATGTTTCAATTACCTTGCTTTGCAAATTTCCCTAATGGCAGAAAGAAATTGAAGCCGAGATGAAAAGACTAAAGCTTGAGGTGAGGCAGACCATGGACATGTATAATACTGCTTGCAAAGAAGCAGTTTCAGCCCAGCAAAAGGTAACTGATGCTACTTTTGGTAGCAGTAATGAAAATTCTGTAGTATCTAAGATTTTAAGGAAAAATCTAGGCAACCAAACACCCCCTCTCCCACTCCAAGATTTCTAAGTTAGAATGCACGCCATAAAACGATTCAGTTTCTGTTTAATAATTTATGTAAGCTTCGATCAAGATGAAATGAAACAAATAGATTAAAATTTAACAGCAGTAATTTTAGTTTACGTAGTACATTCCTTAACTTAAATAAATGATCTCATTAGACGATTTTATAACACGACAAACTTTAGACAACTAGTTGGAGAGCTACCTGTGAGCTTCAACAACTTTCATCATAGATGATGTTGGAGCATGATTCAAAGTAAGTACATCAGGTAAAAAAGAATCTTGTATGAGGAACTACACATGATAGCACTTTTTCTTTAAAAAAATTAATGAAATATACAAATAATTACTTTAACTCTGACACTGAGGACTGGTAAAGCATCCATTTTGATCCTCCTATTCTGATAGATTATAACGTTTATCCCCGTTAAGTGTAAAAATCGAATTAACTAACTAAAACAAATTGCTTTAGGGGACTGTATAAATATATGTTTTTGTAGTTTTGTGGCCTTCATTATATACAGGAACAATATATATATGATACATGTTCACAATGTGTGTATCAATTGTCCAATTCCAATGCTCTCGTATCATATACCATTCTAGGCTAAAGAAATTCATCAATGGAAGCTGGAAGAAGCTCGTATATTAGAACAAGCACGGTTTAAAGAAGAGGTGGCTCTTGCAATTGTGGAGATGGAGAAGGCCAAATGCAAAGCTGCCATTGAAGCAGCAGAGAAAGCACAAAAAATAGCTGAGATGGAAACTCATAGAAGAAAGTATGCAGAGTTGAAGGTCCAACAAGAGGCAGAAGAGAAGAAACGAGCACTTAATGTTCTAACAAGTAATGATGTCCGCTACAGAAAATATACAATAGAAGAGATCGAGGTAGCGACCAATAACTTCTCAAGTTCAAATAAAATTGGTGAAGGTGGTTATGGGCCTGTTTTCAAAGGTACGCTTGATCATACCCCAGTAGCCATAAAAGCTCTTCGATCTGATGCTAAACAAGGGAGGAAACAATTCCAACAAGAGGTGTGTTTTTGGTACTAAATTTGATTTTTTTCCATGAACTCATTGTATTACACAATATGCATTACACTAGTAAACTTACAAAACTGATGACAGATCTGAAGTTTTTACATGCAGAATTGCATATTGATAAAATACTATGCTGGTGACATAAAATGCTGGCAATATAGTCTCGAAGAATACGTTAATTTCACGTGGGTGTTGATTTGAACCACATATAACTCTGGTCAAGCCTTTCAACTAAATGATTTTGCAAAAGTTGGAACAAACTAATTATTGTACATTAGAATGTCTAGTTAGTTATGAAAAATGAAGGCTTCTTTTGATTTCACACCTACTTATCCTTCCGTGCATACTAGAGGACCTAAGTGCGTAGAATCATTTACTCACCAGAATCATATTGAAAGTTAAGCTGTACATTGGATTTGTTTTCAAAGTAGGTTCTGATATGTTAATTTTATTTTGCACCTTTCGTCAATACATCATTGTGCTTGGAAAATTTCTAATAAGAATGTCCTATATGTTCAGGTTGAGGTCCTAAGTTGCATGAGACATCCAAACATGGTCCTCCTTATAGGTGCATGTCCTGAATATGGATGCTTGGTGTATGAATTCATGAGCAACGGAAGCTTAGAAGATCGATTGTTCCAGAAAGAAAACACCCCTTCCATTCCATGGGGTACTCGTTTCAAAATTGCAGCTGATATTGCAACTGCGCTTCTGTTTCTTCACCAGTCAAAGCCAGAACCTCTTGTGCACCGTGATCTTAAGCCAGCCAACATCCTTATAGACTACCATTATGTATGCAAAATTAGCGACGTTGGTTTAGCAAGATTAGTTCCCCCGTCTGTAGCTGATAACGTCACACAATATCATATGACCTCTGCGGCGGGAACATTTTGTTATATTGATCCAGAATATCAACAGACAGGTAAATTGGGGACAAAATCAGATGTATACTCGTTTGGGGTAATGTTACTCCAAATTATCACTGCAAGGCCCCCTATGGGGCTCACCCACCATGTCGAGAGAGCCATTAAAAAGGGAACATTAAATGAGTTGCTTGATCCAACAGTGCAAGACTGGCCAATTGAAGAGGCCCTTAGCTTTGCGAAATTAGCTCTAAAATGTGCTGAGCTCAGGAAAAGAGACCGACCAGATCTTGGTTCAGATGTATTGCCAGAGCTTAACAGGCTAAAAGAACTTGGAATGAACAATGGATTAAGCATTGACAGCAGCCATAACCATCAAAAATCTCCTCCAATATCAAATCCTAATGGAAGTGTGTCCAAGGTGATATTTTTATGTAACAATTAGTCTTCTTTGAACTGTTAGTAATTATGGGTTTGTCAATTTGCATTAAAACATATTTCATTTGTTTTTGTTCGCGTGATCATTTTCTTTAGAAGAATTTTATGAAATTATTGACTAGTGTGTACAAAGTTCATAAAATCATGATATTAATGAAAATAAATTTAATCACCATAAAATTTAGGAGAAGATTTTCAGGATGTTTATCGAATGCTTTCATTAGAATAGAGTTATGGACCTCGTTTGATGACGGAATTGCCATGTATTCAATAATTTATTCTGTAATAGTTAAACAAAAATAAGGAAGAGCTTTACTATCTCAAGTTCGCAAAGAAAGGAAAATTTCCATGCCTTATCTGGAGGAAAAAACTAAAGTTCTTTTTCCTTGCATAAATTCCAGTTCTTGGAAGACATAGCTGCTTACATTATTTGAAGCTAGTTAACATTATTTTGCATAATCATTTGTTTGATTTCTGATAGATTTGTCTCCATTTTAAATCGTTAGGATGATGCAACGGTTGAAGAGTGATGTAGATATGGGAAATGCCCTCTCCAAAACAAGGCAGCATCCACAGGGAGACACGGTTGGATATTCAGAAACTTTGGAGCTGCTTGCTTGTGAATGTGAAGCTACTAAAGAAACTTGACTAGAATCAATAGACAACAGATAAAAGGACATGCTTACCGAATAAATTACAGAAAGTCATTGTATCTTCTTGAAATAGTAAGACATGAAAGTAACTTCAACAGGATCCGTAATTGATATTTTGTTTCATAACAGTACTTTTAAACTAATAAGGGGTTGCTTTAGTGCGTGGCTAATAAATGGTCATTTTACATCTTTTCAGTTTGTTATTTGTTCTTCTCTGATCATTGAAGTGTCTGATCAGAATTATGCTGTAGTTTTTTATTTAAGCAGTTCATATTGCTTAATGTTACTGCATATTCTGAAGAAATCCCTCAGAATCTGCAAAAGAAGATGAGATTCTTTACTTGGGATTAGAGACCAAAAAAGATAACCAAAAGTTTTTCCCCCCGTCAAGAATAAAGCACAAAGTGTGAATCAACTTGGCTGGAATCGATGCCCACAAAGGTGGATTGCGCCTAGAAAAAGGCACAATAAAGGTGGAAATGTCACTGTGTATTGGATCTGCTTAGGATTTTCTATCGCTATGAAGGAAAATAATGATTAACGTTATCAATATGCTTTAGGCCGATATATAGTGTGACAAGTTCATGTCACAGGGTCACAGCATATGCAATTTTTTCGAAGTCCATTCATGCACTGAGGGAATCAAATGAAACATAGTGGAGTTCTTGCATTAATACTTAGAAAATTGTTGGTGTATCTCTTGATAATGTTTTCTATAGCAAAATCTGAGAACCAAACCATCGTACCAGCGGCAGGCTTGCTATGCATGACTGACTGCGATACATGTCCTGTCGTATGCTCACCACCACCAGGGAATTCAAAGCTGCCGCCACCGCTGCCAGCACACCACCACTCACCGCCAGCTGCACCTCCTCCACCACCAACTTCTATTTTGTGGGGCGGACTGCATAATTATTCAAATCCTTACTCCTACTACTACTACTATGCTTCAAAAGCTTCTTTCTTCTCTTCCTCTCCGTCCTTTGTTGCTGCTGTTCTTTCGAGTTTCGTACTACTTTTGTAGGGATCAACTGTATGTGCTGGAGAATAATTGAAAAAAATTGGTATTCCTTGCATTACAAGACCATCAAATTGGCTGTTATAACTTGTAACTTGCATTTTGCATCTCCAAAATAAGGGCCAATTTCTGACCAGGACTATCTTGTATAGTTTCTAAACAACCTATCGCGTTTGTTAATTGAATCTTCAATGTTCAGTATGTACGATTGGATACTACTCAATAATATTAGAAAAGAAAATAAGCTAAAATCATCTTCAATACTAAATGAGATTTTCTCAATGAAGCATATAGAAAGTTTAGTTCTATTTTTCCTATATTCTTAACGTTTATGGATTTCCTGGTTCCAGCATTAAGGAAAGAACGATTATTTTCAGTCTTGCACTTATGAAAGGATTGAGACCAATACACCGTTTTTGCATATAATAAGCACGGCCATTAGATGCAAGCCAGAAGACATTGCTAGAAATATGGACGCTAAGGTAGTGTTTGGCGATTAGCGATAATCAATTTTTAGTAAGCAAATAGACCAGTGGTAGCCCTTTTTTTATCGGCAACTGTAAATTGTACAGATCAAAAATTTGGGTAAAACTACTTTGGGCATACCAAGACAGACAAATGAAACATTACAAAAAATCTTAAGATCCAAAGCAAGAGACTTAAAATGAATCCAAAACATGAAGTTGCAAAAGTTGCTGCAACTTTGTCTAATCAAAACTAGAACATGAAGTGCTGAACCCCCTTGCTAATGTAGGTCGTTCCAATTCTTTCTGTCCTTTTTCTTGGTTGATTGGTCTACCATTTTGCCTTTGAGTTTCTTACTCATTGCATCTTCCAAATTGGGTCTTTCAATTTCTGCATCACCCGATTGCGAGACAGGTTTCTGTTGGTGAACTCTTTGTTCCCCATTTTCCTTGCAGTTCCTTGGCCTTTCATTACATGCTGCCTTAGAACTAGGGCCTGCACCATCGTCGAAATCCCCATTTTGCTGGCCAGAAATTCCAGCAATCTGTCCCTTCGTCTTATCGACAGAATTATTCGGTCCCAAGTCAGGTGGTTGCTCCTTGGCAGCGTCCTTAGGCCGATTGGCAGCAGCCTTAACAGGCAGTACTTCCTTGGTGTTGCTGGAATTTTCTTTGCTGCTTGCAGCAGCCCGTTTCTTCAAGTTGCACCCAAGTGTATTGTGGTCGAACGACTTAAAATTTGATCAAAACTTTGGTTCATGCTCATAAACAACTTGTTTCTTCCTTGACTTTCCGGTTGGCATTTTCATATGAATGGTAGCAATGTAACATGCAGGCCAGAAATTCAGTCGGTACTTGCCATGACTGAGTTTCCAGCATGTTAGTCCATTTTTGGTAGGGATTAAAATCTATATTTTTATTTAAGTCAAAGTTAATAATTAATTTTAATCACGTACTTGAATATTATTAGTGCCACGGACTTGAAAATTGAAAAAATGTGGAGTATTCTTGTAGTTTTTGAAGAACATCAAAGAAGACTTGAAGGTACGAGGTTGCATTGATTGCAAGAGGTTTAAAGTACGCATCAACGATAATATACTTAATGCCTGTGTTTAATTGAAATTAAGTACATGTTTGTAGTATACTACCCATAGACAATCCATCTAGTTTTAGTTCTTTAATATCCTTTATGATGGTGCTTTTGAATCCAAATCCAACAATTTTTAACCATATACGGAAACTTGAAACCCAAGTTGTGGCAGTCAACTGCGCTCAAATTATACGAGCCATAGCTTATTTTCCTTTGTTTTGGTGAATAGAAGTTTGAGTTGGAACTGGTAAATAGTGTTGTGCCATTTTTATGTTTACTTTATTCTTGCCCAAGTTCCTTTACTTGAAAATCCTCTATTGGAAAGGCTGCTAGTAAACCTCTGTTGCATAATTTTGATGATGCACGATTACTATGAAGGTGAATTGTTAACAGGGAATCAGATACTTTTGAGTGATCCTCGTTTGGGTTTCACATGGATTCTATACTGTGCAAATTAAGAAGAATGGAGGTGCTTGATTTGTACAACATTACTTGAATTTTAGATATGAATCATACAGTGCTTTGGCCCTCGTAAAAAAGTAACTCTTTTGTGGCTTATTTTGGCACTAAGCATGCGCAGCAGGACCTAATAAGCCATAAAAGTAGTAGTTTCCTTTGGGGGGACCAAACATGCCGCTGCATCATCTGAACTAATATATCAGTTGTGCTACGTATACATAATGATTTACATACACATGATGTGGTAAGATATGATTGGGTGAGAATTTCTTCGACCAAATACAAAAAAAAAACCTCCCCACTTTCTTTTTGACTCATCATCAATATATAAATCATTATGTACAAGTAGCATTATTTATGATATATATATACGGCAAATAGAAGCACTGTATGCCACTTCAGTTAAACATGTGAAGAGTTCGTGCTTAATTGTTCCTGGTAAACGTGTCTTAGGTACTAAAATTTCCACAAGTATTAAACAAGAAATCTCAAAACGGTTAAAAATTCGACATGCACTAACATGTGTGAGTGCACACGGTCGTTCAAACACGCATGAGATTCCAACTTATAGCAACAGGAGTAGGCAGCAGTTGGATAATTAGCCATATGTGAAAAAAATTCAGCTAAAATTGTAAAGGTACATGGCCATTGGTATATGTACAGATCTTTGAAACAGAAATGTGTGTTATTTTAAGGGAATACAGTAAGCAAAAGAGGAAAAAATCGTCTGCATGTGGCGTGCATCATACATGTGCTTGCATTATGGGCAAAAATCAAAAAACTATATTATACCATGAACTTAAAAGAACAACTACGCAAAATTACAACATCAAACTTTTCTAAATGCCCACAATTATTGTTACATGTCGATAGAGTACTACCTGATCAATGTTATTCCAAATTCAAAACCTAAAATATTATACAAAATTGAAAGTAAATCTATTTCCCTTCCAATTGTCAGCCATTTCGTCAGAAAGAGGAACTCTCCCAATTCTTTCTTTCACTTGAAAATGGCACTGGTCTTGCAAATCCTGCAATATATGTATACAAATCAAATGAAACTCCAAAGTAAAAGAGGAAAAATATAAGCTTAACTGATAATTCAACGATCTTCACATTAGTCCAAGCATTAATTCAAGGAACTTGAAAATTTATCAGCCGACGGATAGTTCACATATCAGTAATATGAAATCAAAGAAAAAACTACGTGTAACAAATATACACTGCCCTGATCAAATAAAATTAGATGCATATTGCAATGGAAACTGAAACCCTAAAGTTAGTATAAAAGAACAGATCTGGTCTTATTTGTATATGAAAAATCAAATTTTTGCAGTTATTTTCTTGAATCAGTTGAAGATTTGTGATCGGAATCAATTAAAATTAAACCCAACTGCCTACATAAAGAGGAAGTAAGCTGCCAGTGCCTTGTAAAAGAACTCATCCAACTGCTATCATAAATTCTACAGAATTGCAAACCAAAACGTCCAAATATTAGTTATTGTTTCGAGGTCAAGAACTAACAAAAAATAGTTATTAAATCGGAAAATAAAAAATAAGTGGAACAGTAAGCGACAGAATTGTAGAAGATTAAAACCACCCTTTAGTCTGAACATCGGAAAAAATACTGTATGCCATATCATTATTCCTGTTTGTAGCAAATTCTTGAGACTACATGAACTCATAGAAACTGCTCAACTCAGCAAAAAATCAAGAAAAGTGAGAGGAAAAAAATAAGAATTATACTCTTCCTTTGATAGTGGCAAATTAAAGAGTTGTGTTAAAGATTAAAGAGACAATAATGAGGCATTAGGATAATTGAAGGGCAGGAGTCCCCACTAATTCTCAATCAAATGAAAATGACTAATTATTAAGATTTAAAACAGAAACTTGCTTAAGAAAATTAATTTCAGAACCATACTAAAGAGATTTCAACGTTTTACTCTTTATAATATTCTTTAAAATTAAACAGATAAAGGGAACAAGAAATTAAGAACCCTAGGGTGTACATCAGGATATACTTTTAACAGATAGTGATACTAGTACTCCATATACCTGCTAAATTGGTTTTTCCTTGTACCAGGTTGTGTAAAACCACAGCACTCAGTTATGAAAATTGTACTTTCATGTAAAATTAGATCCGATCTGACTGAAGGGGGGCGGGGGTGTTGGTTTAGGGTTTGTCAAAGCCGCCATTAATTTCTTCTGTGCCCAACAAAAGGCCCATAGGATTTTTCAAGAAAATTCTCACTCTTCGTTCCTAATAATTGAAACTACTCCCATAATTCTGATATGGCTATTTACGATGAAAATCGTGGAACTTACCCAAATTGAAAAGTAAAACACAAACACTGCAAGTTATTGTGAGTTTGTGAGAACAAAAATAGGGCTATAAATGAAAGAGACATTAATTAGACACTTTGTAACTTCACATACAAAATTATTCTTAAAAAAGATCTGTGAGCCTGTGTGTGTGTGAGAGAGAGGTAGAGATAGAGAGAGGTGGGGTGACAGAAAGAGGGTGAGCACCCATAGCTTCAAGCATGGAGAACATCATACAAGAAAACACTGTGAGTGCTCACTCTCTTCTGTCACCTCCTTTACCCATTAACTGTTAGTTGTCGCCATAATTAATCAGCAGGGAGAGAGAGAAGATGTTGCAGTATGAAACCCTAATTTGAAAACCTTCCTCTTTATAACTAATACTGTTCCATTTGAAAGGAAAGTACTGGTTTTGATTTGATGTGTGAGGAAGTATAAGGGTGCATAGGGCTTTATATAGGATATGTACAAGGAGACGGTTTCATTACGTATGTGTATGGAATAAATGTGGGTTCATCTTTTCATGGGCCTGCCCTAATATTTTATTGGTATCAGTAAAAAAGTTTAATACGCAGCATATTCATCTTTCCACCCCCCACTCAATTTGTGATTTGGTTTTAAGATATATTTTTCTTTTTAAATTGTACTAAAGTTAGGTCAAAATAAATATT